TGAACATGACTTCCAGTATCACTTTGTTCACTCTGAGTTGGAGGGAAGGGCCTGAAATTGTGTAGAACTACCTGAGAGATTCGAAGCTTGAAATAAATTCCGCTTTTTGAATGAGCAGCAGTGTCCATGATCCTTCCTTCACGGATGGAGTTTTAGTTTGCGAGTTTTTTACATGCCGACCTTCTATGGTGTTGGCTTCAGAAAATTATGCATGGCAAATTGTGATTATTCGGCAACTATTATGATAGATTGTAATGGATGAGACTATGTTTTCATTGCTATAGACTTCCGTCTGCCAATACATTAGTGAAAGTATACAAGTGAAAGTATTCTCAACAGACATGTCATATGAATCGTAAAGGGAGGTGCAAGCAGAAATCAATTGGTTTCCCATGAATTGATTGGAAAGTAAAGGGGGAAGTTGAAGGTATTGTATGTCAAGCTGATCAGTCGGCCCAGACTATTTCGAAGGATGGACATGGACCCGCCGAATAGGAGGATCGAGTTCTCACTGATAGTGAGAGTGAGCAGTAAATACGAAAATGTCTCTTCGAAAAATCAATCGGGTGTGCGATACAACGGCAAGTATGCCGTTTCCAGTTGAGCAGCCCAACTAAAAGCACATTTTTGTGGCGGGGGAATGGGCACACTAGCACCCACCACTAGCCACCTTCCCTAAAAAATGATGAATGAACGATTCAGGAACTAAATCGAGTCAATCCTCTTCCACCTTCCACACCACTAACTACTGAAATAGGTGCAAACGAAGAGAAGATAAACTAATGAGAACAACTCAAATCCACGGAAAAACAAACGCACACATTTGCTGGGCGCTCTACTAGATGCACAACGTGGCCATCCCGTAATCCGCATGCGGATAAGGTGCTGTTTTCATTCTTCAAAACATGACCCTGCAAAACGAAAGCAGTAAATCTTACAACTTTTTTTTCTATCAAGCAAAAGGAAAAGTAAAAGTAGTGCTGGGATGCAACTCACGGCAAAAATCATACGCTGACGATCGGGAGGAATGTGAAGGCGTTCAGCAACTTGTAGACGGAAGTCCGACAGCAAAGTCTAAATGAACCTTCTCAAACCATTGCTTATGGTCAGCAACAAAATATATAAATTACGAATAAATGTGAACTTATGAAAAAGGAAACCGAGCAGATTGAGAGGGTACGAGAAACAGTCTTTAAAAAAATTATATATTTGGGCCTCATCCGAGCAAAAAAGGAAGTACAGCAGCTGAACGAATTTATTATCTCGACGTAGTAAGGTTTCGCAAGTGTGTTGGATCCCATGTCTTGTTTAGCAGAAGACGATGCTGAGAATTTCCGCAAAAGCAGAAGAGAATTCGGAGATCCGAACCATCAACGGTCGAAGATCAGGGACGCTGCCGTTTTCGCCAAGGAATCGAAGATAAGGTGGGCCGGACACGTCATGCGATTTTGCGATGACCGCTGGACCAAAGCGGTTAACGACAGATTTCCCAGCGAACATGGGACAACCCCGACACAATGGCCAGACCTATACTTCCACCTCTAAACAAAAAGAGCTGAGGTGAATGTGTCCCTCGGGCGAGGAAGATTCACTGCAGCACTCTAGCACGTGATAGAAACAAATGGAAACGTTGCTGGCGTCTGCTCAAAGAACCGAAGATTGGTGGGATAACATTACGTAGGAAAGTCTTGCCGTTTTTGAGATTCAAGTTTCAATGCATTAGTTCAAATTAAATTTTTGGCTGACCTCTACATTTTGCATATTGGATTGATAGAGAGCGCGTTTTCTGCACTACAGAAACAATCAGACCGACGTCATAGTCGGCGACGGAACAAGCGCTTGTCCGTCGCTTGCCAATCGCTCTCGGTCGAGCGATTGGCAAGCGATTGCGCAATC